TCAGTATAGATATCCAGCATGAAATTTTTCCCAATTGAGATCTGATGTGTTTTCAAAGTGTTCCTTTCATTTTTTTGATCTCTCTCTCTCTCCTTCTCCTTAACTTTTGCCACATTTTGTTATGTTACAGCCTCATTCCAAAATGGATTAAATTCATTTTTTTTCCTCAACATTCTATAAACAATACCTCATAATTACAACATGAAAGAAGTTTGTTTTTAATCTTTGCAATTTAATAAAAATGAAAAAAAAAACACATGTACATACGTATTCACAGCCTTTGCCATGACACTCATGACTGATTATCCATGAGATGTTTCCACAACTTGATTAGAGTCCACCCATGGCAAATTCAGTTGATTGGACATGATTAGGAAAGGCATAAACCTGTCTGTCTACATAAGGTCCAACAGTTAACAGTGCATGCCAGAGCACAAACCAAGCCATGAAGTCCAAGGAATTGTCCGTAGACCTCAGAGACTTGTATCAAGACACAGATCTGGGAAAGGGTACAGAAAAAAGTTCTGCAGCATTGAAGGTCTCAATGAGCACAGTGCCCTCCATCATCCGTAACGGAAGAGGTTTGGAACCACCACGAGTCTTCCTAGAGTTGGCTTGCCCAGCCAAAATTAGCAATTGAGGGAGAAGGGCCTTAGCCAGGGAGGTAACCAAGCACCCCCTCCAGCGTTTTCTGTGGAGAAAGGAGAACCTTCCAGAAGAACAACCATCTCTGCAGTACTCCATCAATCAGGCCTGTATGGTAGAGTGGCCAGACCAAAGCCACTCCTCCCTAAAAGACAAATGGTAGCCCACCTGGAGTTTGCCAAAAGCACCTGAGGGACTCTCAGACTATGAGAAACAAAACTCTCTGGTCTGATGAAACAAAGATTGAACTCTTTGGCCTGAATGCCAAGCGTCGTGTCTGGAGGAAACGTTCAACGCTCACCACCTGGCCAATACCACCCCAACAGTGAAGCATGGTGGTGGCAGCATCATGCTGTGGAGGTGTTTTTCAGTGGCAAGAACTGGGAGACTAGTCAGGGTTGAAGAAAAGATGAATGCAGCAATGTACAGAGACATTCTTGATGAAAATCTGTTCCAGAGTGCTCTGGACCTTAGACTGGAGCGACGGTTCATCTTTCAACAGGACAAAGACCTTAAGCACACAGCCCACATAACAAAGGAGTGGCTGCAGGCCAGCTCTGTGAATGTCTGGAGGCCCAGCCAGAGCCCAGACTTGAACCCGATTGAACATCTGAAAATGGTTGTGCACCGACGCTTCCCATCCAACCTGATTGAGCTTGAGAGGTACTGCAAAGAAGAATGGAAGAAATTGCCCAAAAATAGGCGTGCCAAGCTTCTGGCATCATACTCAAAATGACTTGAGGTTGTAATTGGTGCTAAAGGTGCTTCAACAAAGTATTGAGCAAAGGCTCAATACTTTTAATACTTACAGTTGTGTTCAAAATAATAGCAGTCAGACATCACTAACCTGATCAATCACTTTTTTTGGTAGAAATGATATTTCTACATGGCAAATAATTTACTAGCAGGTGTAGTAGAGTAATAGAAATCCAACAGACCCAACAGTCATGACATGCATGGTGATGATTCTGTGTAATTGAATCACTAATTGAAAGGGGCATGTTCAAAATAATAGCAGTATGGAGTTCTATTAGTGAGGTCATTCATTCTTTGAAAAACAGGTGGCAATTATTGCCCTTATTTAAGGAAGGAAGGCAGCAAATGTTGTACATGCTGGTTACAGTGCATTTCTTTCTGAAATTCTGAGGAAAATGGGTCGTTCCAGACATTGTTCAGAAGAACAGCGTACCTTGATTACGTGGAAGAAAGCGAAAAAACTACCATTCGAATGGATAGAAGAATAGCCAAAATGGCAAGGACTCAGCCAACAATCAGCTCCAGGAAGATCAAAGAAGGTCTAGAGTTACCTGTGAGTACTGTTACAATTAGAAGACGCCTATGTGAAGCCAAGCTATCTGCAAGAAGCCCCCGCAAAGTCCCACTGTTGAAAAAAAGACATGTGCTGAAGAGGTTACAATTTCCAAAGAGCACATTGACTGGCCTAAAGAGAAATGGCGCAACATTTTGTGGACTGATGAAAGTAAGATTGTTCTTTTTGGGTCTAGTGGCCGGAGACAGTTTGTCAGACGACCCCCAAACACTGAATTCAAGCCACAGTACACTGTGAAGACAGTGAAGCATGGTTGCGCAAGCACCATGATATGGGGATGTTTCTCATACTACGGTGTTGGGCCTATTTTATCGCATACCAGGGATGATGGATCAGTTCGCATACATCAGAATACTTGAAGAGGTCATGCTGCCTTATGCTGAAGAGGAAATGCCCTTGAAATGGGTGTTCCAACAAGACAAGGACTCCAAACACACCAGTAAACGTGTAACATCTTGGTTCCAGACCAACAAGATTGATGTTATGGAGTGGCCAGACCAATCCCCGGATCTTAATCCAATAGAAAACTTGTGGGGTGACATGAAAAATGCAGTTTCTGAGGCAAAACCAAGAAAGAGAGAAGAACTGTGGAATGTAGTCCAATCATCCTGGGCTGGAATACCTGTTCACAGATGCCAGAAGTTGGTTGACTCCATGCAACAGTACAGCAGTTCTCAGAAACAGTGCTTATACAACAAAATATTCATTAAGTGATTCAAAGGAAAGCAAAATCTTCAAAAATTTTTAGTTTATATAGTGAATGTTTGACTTTGTAAAGAGAAATACAAACACTGCTATTTTTTTGAACTGTCTAATATTCACTTTTCTTCAATTTCTTTAGAGGAACAACACAAATTTGATATATTTTTCTTCATGTTTTGATTTGGAATAGAATGTGTAGTGTTCCCAATGCATTTTTGTGTATGGAAACAAAAGCTATTAGAAGGATTTTGAGCATTTTCACTTTTTTCAACACACTGCTATTATTTTGAACACAACTGTATATACATGTGTTTTTTTTTTTTCATTTTTTATTTTTAATAAATTCCAAAGATTTCTTTCACCTTGTCATTATGGGGTATTGCTTGTAGAATGTTGGGAAAAAAAAAATTAATCCATTTTTGGAATAAGGCTGTAACATAACAAAATGTTGTGAAAGTTAAGTGCTGTGAATACTTTCTGGATGCATTGTGTGTGTATATATATATATATATATATTTATTATTATACAGTATTTATAAAGTGCCAACAGTTCACTCAGCGCTGTACATTACAATGGGAGACAGAACATGCGACAGTACAATAACAATACAATGCGATACACGAGGGGTTCGAGGGCCCTGCTCCTTGGAGCTTACAATCTAGGAGGGAGGGGATAGTGGTACAGGAGGAAATAGCTGTGGGGGATGGAGTGGTAGGAAGAGTGGAGGAGGTCAGGAATTAGCAGGGGGTGGGGTAGGCTTCCCTGAAGAGGTGGGTTTTCAGGATGCGCCTAAAGGAGAGGAGAGTAGGTGATAGTCTGATGGATTGGAGTAAGGAGTTCCAGGGTATGGGTGACGCCCTGCAGAAGTCCTGGAGGCGGGCATGGGAAGAGGAGACCAGGGAACTAGAGAGAAGGAGGTCCTGTGAGGAGCGGAGAGTGCGTGTAGGGTGGTACTTGGATATTAGGTTGGTGATGTAGTTTGGGGCAGTATGATGGACAGTTTGTACGTCAGTGTTAGGATTTTGAATTTGATCCATTGGGCAATCGGAAGCCAGTGGAGGGATTGGCAGGGGGGGTGGTGGAAACGGAGCGTGGTTGGTAAGGCGGATGAGTCTGGCTGCCGTATTCAGGATCGACTGAAGTGGGGATAGCCTGTGGCGAGGCAGGCCAGTGAGGAGGGAGTTGCAGTAATCGAGTCGTGATATGATGAGGGAGTGGATGAGCTGCTTAGTGGTTTCTGGGGTTAGGAACGTGCAGATTTTGGCGATGTTGCGGAGGTGGAGTCTGCATGAGTTTGTTAGTGATTGGACTTGGGGCTGGAAGGATAGGTTGGAGTCCAGAATGACACCAAGTACATATATATTTATTTACTACACATATACATACACACATCGGTTTGCCTTTCATTTCTTTTTTAGACAGAATGGGTTGTTTTATATATACTTTTAGTCACCGGCCACACTGCTGCAATATAAAAGCGCACAATTTGTGTGCAATTTCAGCGTGATTTCAGCTACAATTTCTAAAAGGCTTTCTTGCTCCTTGTGAAGATTTTTTTGAATGGTTTCTTGTAATTTGCAGTGTGATTTCCATTATATTCTATGTCTATGAAAACGCAACAAAACTGCAGAAAAAAGTAATGCAAAAATGACTTTAGAAACCGCACTGCAGGAAATCGCACATGTTAAGACACTGACATTCACAATCATTGCATGCGATTTCAATTCGCATTGGTATGACCGGGCACTAAAAGAGAAGTTCACTTTTAAAAAATAAATAATAAATCCCATTTTTTTGCAGGTAAAAACATGTGCATTTACTAAATTTTTTTGGAGCCTAGAAAGCATTGCGTCAGTGAGCTGCAGATTGCTGTTGCCATAGAGAACTGCCAACCTGTCAGTGTATAAGTGTGCCTGTACAGGCAAGCAGATACAGTCTGACAGGAAGACTCAAAGAACTACCAAACAGCTCAACAGAGCTGTGGTAGTTCATTGAGAACCACACTTGACAACTATGAATGAATGACGCAGCCATGCAGGTGGAGCCCTGCAAAGCTGCCCTGTTTTCAAAAAGTGACAGCTAGTATGCGGAACTTCTCACTGTACTGCTGCCACAGGGAGGGGGCATCAGGTAGCAGCTGCAGCAGTGGGAACATGTTACATGTTCCACCTTAAAAATGGGTGGAACTTGTAACATGTTCCCAAAGGTGAACTTATTAAGGTCTGTGCAGTAATATTTTATAATAATAAACACATAAGACTTGTTATGAATATAACAGAATAGAAATTCCCAGTGTGTCACAGATAAAGGAGTTATTCCTACCTGCAGGGCTTCTCTTATTGGACCCTGAATATCCAAGACCCGGCCACCATGCACAACAGATTTTGGAAGTCGGCTTAAAAACTGATCAACAGATAGCTGGTGACCTGTTTATTAAAAAAAGACATCAATATACCAATTTGGTTTTAATGAATTTCCTTTCCAAAGATCACATGGAAAAGCCACCACAAGTACAGTGAAGGAAATAAGTATTTGATCCCCTGCTGATTTTGAATATTTGTCCACTCACAAACAAATGATCAGTCTAAAAATCGAATGGTAGGTGTATTGAGACAGAATAGCAACAAAATAATCAAAAGAAATGCATGTCTAACAAATTCTGCACTGATTTGCATGTTCATGAGGGAAATAAGTATTTGTTCCCCTATCATTCAGCAGGATTTCTGGCTACCAGGTGTCTTTCATACAGGTAACAAGCTGAGATTAGAAGCAGTCTCAAAGGGAGTGCTGCTAATCTCATTTTGTTACCTGTATAAAAAGACACCTGACCACAGGAGCAATCAAAACCATCAGATTCCAAACTCTCCACCATGGCAAAGACCAAAGAGCTGTCCAAGGATGTCAGGGACAAGATTATAGAACTACACAAGGCTGCACTGGGCTACCAAACTATCGCCAAGCATCTTGGTGGGAAGGTGACAAATGTTGGCGCAATCATTCGCAAATGGAAGAAACACAAAACATCATGAAATCCAGAAGCTAACTGCACATTCCCTTGAGATTTTGACTTGTACAGTATTATGTTTTTATGCACGTGTGTAGCACTGTTTTTAATAAATATTGTTTACCATTGACTTTTCTACTAGGTGGAGCATTTTCATTTTTCCATGCACATTCCCCTTTGTGGCTGTCAATATATATGGTGGAGTGAAGTGGTGACATACTATATTCAGGATCTGAGCTAATCATTTTCAAGCACTATAGGACTTATCATTATGAGGGTCATACTGTTCCGGTAAGCCTTTGATTTGGACACTGGTGTGGGAGCACGGAGTGCATTGTTTTTTCCACTTGGAGGAGTCTTTTTACACCATATGAAGACTTTCATCTTTAATTCATAGTGTACTTTATTTGCATGGATATTCTGTTACAGATACACATTCTGGACTGTTATTAGTTTTGTTTTATGAGCGCTGCTCTTCAATTTGGACCCATTAGAATTATAGGTTACGTAATCTTGAGGAAAACCCAGACAGCTCCCTAGACGTGTATGTTTTCAATTTTAACACAGATTAAGCCAGAACGTTCGTCATGCTGCACACGTACATCACAGTACCCTTCGCTGCCAGGGACTGTTTGCCAATTGGAATACAAAGCATGATCCTCATAACCTTTTGGGCATGAAAAAATTCCAGTTCTTGCATTGCACATAATTTATAATTCAGTCCCACAAGCCTATTTTTCTACCTGCATGATTGGTGTGGAATATTTTTGTCCTTGTGATGAATCAATTGTGTTCTAATACAGGGTTAGTAAGGATCAAAGCCTTCAATCCAGTTTATCTATTATGTTCCTGTGAAGTTTACTCATACTGTAGCACAAAGTATGTTGTCTTAGATCCACATTTCTTGCTGCTTGCAAAAATTTAATATGCATATTTTAATTTTATTTTACTTCTTAACCACTTGTATGGTAAGTAGGATGCATTTGGCAACCCAGTCATACAAACACCCCTTCCTTACCAGCAGGTCCCAAATTCCACATCAGCTTTCAGCGCTGCCGCAGTCATTCTTTGAATGACAATTGCGCGGTCATTCATGCAACGCTGTACAACCCATATGAAATTTTCAGCACTGATGAGGCACTGATAGGCAGTGATCGTAGGTGCACTTAATGAGGTGGCACTGATGAGCTTGCACTGACTTGCATACTGGGTACTTGATAGTCGGCACTGCATGGACACTGACTGGCGGCACTGCTGGGCACTGATGACTGGCACAACTGCTGGGCTGCACTGATGGGGCACTGGTGGGTGGGCTGCACTGGTGGGCACTGATGGACACAGGTGGGTGACACTGCACAGATGGGTGGCACTGCTGGGCACAGGTGGGGATGGCACTGCTGGGCACAGGTGGGCAGCCATTGGGCATCGGTCATCAGGGCACTGATCATCGGTGCCAATCCCTGCTCTGACAACTGCCGGTTCTCGGCAGTACTTACCTCACGCTCTGACAGCATGAGGAAAGTGCATCCGAGAACCGGCAATTGCATTTCCCAGTAATCAGCATGTCATTGGACGCGGCTGATCACGTGGTAAAAGGCCGCTGTGATTAGCCTTTTACCACATCACGTGATCAGCTGTGTCCTTAGGACACAGCGATCACGGAGATCGCCAGGTGCGTGCCCCCCGGGGGTGTGCAGGAGAGCGCGTTCTGGGAGGGCGTCATGACGCCCTCCAAGAACTGGCCGGCCGCAGTGCAGATATCATTTGGCTATCTGCGGTCGGCAACTAGTTAAAGTGGTTGAAAATTCTTACATACAGTGCTCAGCATAAGTGAGTACACCCCAACAAATTTGTCAGAAAAACCTTTACTTCCTTTCAGAATCAACATTGCCTATGGGACACTATACTACAAAATACTTCCACAAATGCAGGCCACTGATTGCACACAAGACTTGCACACACAAAATATTATTTTACTAACAAATTAATTCAAGACCATGTTGTAAAAATGAATACACCACAATGAAAGCCTTAACAGCAAAGCTAAATTTTAGACAACAAAATCCTAATTAACAAGAATTCAACTACAGGTGAGTCTAATTATTCATTAAACAGGTGCCCAGCAGCCAGTTGATTATAAAAGGGCCTTATTTAACAAAGAAAACCCCTTCCTGTGTCAGCAATGGCACCACATGGAAGAGAAATGTCACAAGGCCTGAGAAAGAAAATCATTTCTTTACACAAGAAAGGTGAAGGCCAAAGGATCAGCAAAGCATCACTTATCCGTCAGAATACTGTAGCAAAAGTGATACAAAAATTAAACAAAATGGAACTGCAACCATCTCACAGAGATGTCCAGGCCATCCACGGAAATTAACACCTCAACAAGAGCATCTTCTGATTAGAAGGGTTGAAGGATATTGCCATGCAAGTTCACTGCAGTTAGCAAAAGAAGTAGAAAGCCAAACTAGTGTGATCGTTTTCCGTGGCACAATACGGTGTACACTGCAGAAGAATGGCATGCATGGGCGTCATCCATGAAGGAAGCCTCTCCTAAAGCTCATGCACAAAAAAAGCCCACCTAAAATTTTCCATGCTGAAAAGAAGACGACTACTGGGACTCTGTACTCTGAAGTGATGAGGCCAAGATATATGTTTTTGGAACAGATGGCTTCAAAACTGTATGGCGCTGCAAAGGTGAGGAGTACAAAGAAACATGCATGGTGCCTACAGTGAAACATGGTAGTGGCAGTGTCCTTCTGTGGGGCTGCACGAGTGCTGCTGGTATCGGGGAGCTGCATTTCATTGATGGTATCATGAATTCACAGATGTACTGCTCTATATTGAAAGAGAAGATGCTACCATCACTCCGTGCCCTTGGTCATCGTGTACGTTTCCAACATGACAATGATCCAAAACACACATCTAAGACCACTGTTGCATTTCTGAAGAAGAACAGGGTGAAAGCAATTCAGTGGCCAAGTATGCAAGTGTACAATCCAAATGCACACATTCCAACGTTAAAAATGGCTGTGTGTATAAGTGGGTGCTGCAGCGACCGGCGGCTGGTACCGAACAGAATCAGCAAGGGAGAATGTCACCAGCACTCCGAGGATCACCAATATGGGTCCAAAAGTTTTAATAAACAATCACATAGTTACAGCAAAGCAACATTTCAGAGTCTTGCAGGACCCCTTCATCAGGCATGTGACCAAACCAAAAGTTATATACAAAGCTATATACACTTCAATCATGAAGTCATCATCTGCTATCCAAAAAGCACAAATATGATGTATTGATATTACGTCCCCTCGGTGGTGTCATGTTGAGGGTATGCATCCAATAAGCTTCATGATGGAGGAGGAAGTTGTCACTATCTCCTCCTCTCACAGATCGACTGACGTGTTCGGTGGTCCTGCCTCTGAATTCATGTACCTGGTGTCCTGCCGAAATTAAATGGACTGCTATGGGGTTTGCTCAAATCAGTAGGTTCACCCTTGATACTCTTGACTAGAGCTGCTCTAATGTCACTCCTGTGTTTCTAAAACCTACGCTTAAAAGGGACCTTTTTTTTGCCCACATAAAACTAGTGAGCAGGGGAATTTCCGAATATAAAAGCAGTAAATCAGTGTTACAGTTCAGGTAACCCTGTATCTGGTAACATTTCTCACCATGGGGATTTGTCAAATATTCCCCACAGATCAAAGAGTTGCATACATTACAATTGTAACAACCCTGTTTTTTTGAGAACTTGAACGTTCTCTTAGCGTACTTGGTCCTAGGGTCCACTTGAACTAATAGGTCACGTAGGGATCTACCTCACTTATGTGCCAATAACAGTAGATTCTTTAACCTCTTGCCGTCCGCCTGCTGTTTATAAACGGCAGGGCGGTGGCAGTCCAGGGTCGGGTTGCCGTCCATAAACAGCACCCGCCTTTTCTAGCTGTGCGCGCTCCCTGGGAGCGCGCACCACCGCAATCCGGTGCCCGCTGTGTCCTCCGGACACAGTGAAACACCGATCTCGGACGGGACCTCTGTACGAGGTCCCGATCATGTGTGATCACTGATTGGCAAATCAGTGATCACATGCAAAGTAGTAAGCAAGATGTCACTTGTGACATCATTGCTTACTATTTGTGAAATCTGTGAATGATCACAGAGGTCACATGGTACAAGGCTATTCACAACAGCCTTGTACCATGTGACAAGCTGTGACCACTCACAGCTCACTCAGTAATTCTCAATGACTGCAGGAATGCAGACAGAGAGAAAGAGAAATGATTGCTTTTACATCCTATATATGTGTAAAAGCAATCAGTGTAAAAAAAAAAAAAAAATCTTCATCACCCTCCACAAGTAGTACAGTGTCACCATGGTGACAGTGTACTGCTAGGGTGACAGTATGTAAAAAAAAAAAAAAAAATAAAAAATAATAATATAAAAAAAATAAAATAAAATGTAAAAAAAAATGTTTAAAAAAATTATAATTTTTGGTTATAAACTAATTTGGATTTTTTTTTTTTACTAAAAAAATAACGGAATAAATTTTGGCTAAGATTTATGATGAAATATTATTTATTTGCAAAATTTTATTTAAAAAAACACTTTTTTTCAAAATTTTGGAACTTTTTCATTTACATAGTAAAAAAAAAAAAATCCCAGTGGTGAATAAATACCACCAAAATAAAGCTTTATCTGTCTCAAAAAAATGGTAAAAAATTCATATGGGTACAGTGTTGCATGACCCGCGCAATTGTCATTCAAAGTGTGATAGCGCTGAAAGCTAAAAATTGCCCTGGACAGGAAGGGGGTAAAAGTGTCCGGACAGGAAGTGGTTAAGTCGTGTGAGTGTCATCAGCCCTAAGGATGTTCATGTTATGCATAACCGTGTTTAATATGCTCATTTTCCTGATTGAAGCCATGTATAAATCATGGCCTGCTGGTGGCCCTAGAGCTGCCTTCAAAATTTGCTGTAGCTCTTGCTAATGCCTGGTCAAGTACTCGAGTAGGATAACCTCGTTCCACAAATTTTATGTACATGGCCTCAAGTTGTTCTATCCTGTCAATTAGTGTCAGACACCACCTGGCGGTACCTCTAGCAATCCACAGGACAGGATTCCCCAGAGCGCGGGGTCTAAGCCCCAGTCTGCTTGTTCACCAGGGCCCCTGATGGTGGGATGGACTTGGAGCAGACAGTGACCAGGTCGCGGCCCCTGAGTACACCTGCCTGTGGTAGAGGGATCCGCCACTGGTAGAGAGCCTGATGTGAAGAGGTGAATAGGCCTGAGCAGCGCGGTGACCGGATCTGTACAGGATGGATGGATGGCAGGGTAGTGAAGCGTGATCAGACAGGTCGGGTCGGTAACAGTGGGGACAGCACAGTACAAAGCAGCAAAGAGTAGTCAGGTCACTCGCGCCGGTAACAGGGTTCAGTAACAGGAGTTCAGATCAGCAGGAGATATAGGGGATCAAGCATCGGCAACAAATCATCAGCAGGAGAGCAAACAGGGAGCCATACGGGAGTGTCTGTGCAGGGCTGATTTAAATAGTGCGCCCTGCTGTCATTGGTGACAGACGCGCGTCCGCGTGCGAGTGCACCGCCATGATTAGCGCCTGCTGACAATTAGACAGACCCGTGCGCCGCATTGACAATGCGTAACACGCTCTTGAACTGTGAGATAGGCAGGCTATCAAGGAGATGCTTGGGATGTGCGCTCTGGTAATGCAGTGGGGTGTTCCTGTCTGTTGGTTTGGAGAACACAGATGTCTGGAATGTAGCCTGGTTATTAGTGATCCTGACATCAAGATATGTATTGCTATTAGGGGGATATCTCAGGGTTGAAAATAATACCGGGAAAAATGCTGTTAAACTGATTGACAAACTCGTAAAAAATAGATGTTTCCCCTTCCCAAATAAGGAAGATATATTGTCAATATATCTTAGCCAGCATTTGATATGATCAATGAACAAAGGCATGTTGTGCTCCTCCATAAACCCAACAAATAAATTTGCAAAGGAATGGGAAGCAGAATTGCCCATGGCAGTGCCACGTATTTGGGCAGAGATGGTCCCCTCAAACGCAAAAAAATAGCTTTCAAGTACAAAACGCAAACATTCAATAAGGTATTCCCACGGACATTTTGGGCCGTCGATCCGGACCAGAAATGTGTAACCGCCACCAAAGCTGCTTCATTAAGTATGCTTGTATACAAGGATGAAAAATCCATTGTTGCTAATTTCCAATTTACATCAAATGCCTGATGATGAAGGGGTCCTGTGAGACTCTGAAATGTTGCCTTGCTTTAACTATGCGATCGTTCATTAAAACATTTGGACCCATATTGGAGGTTCTCGGTGTGCTGGTGACATTCTCCCTCAGTGGCCAAGTATGTCTCCTGATCTGAACCCAATCGAACACCTATGGAGAATTCTGAAGAGACAAGTTGAGCACCACTCTCCTTCCAGCATCCAGGCTCTAAAAGGGGTTGTTCTTAAAGAATGTAAAAAGATAGATATTGCAATAAGTCGCCAACTTGTTCACTGCCTAAAAGACTTGGTGCTGTCCTTACAAATCATGGAGGTCATACAAAATACTAGATGGCGTAGTTTCTGTTGTGGGGTGTATTCATTTTTGCATCAACTACTTTGAATAAAACTGAAGATTTTGTAATCTAACTTATATTACTAACCTTACTTTCATGTAATGAGCTAAACAAATGTTCTATAAAACTCAGTTTTGTCAAAATTTTGGAAATTGTTTTTGTGTTCATTGAGATATTGATTAAAATCTTGCTTTTCAAAAATTAGTGTACTCATTTATGCTGAGCACTGTATATCTATTAAAGTGGCTAGCCCTAGGTGATAAAGAGAGATGAAATAAATCCTCCTAAATATGTTATACCTGTTTATCTGCAGCCATCTCTTCTGTACAGCCGTCTAAAACACAGATTTGACACATTTCTTAGCTCTAAAAATTAGGGGCGGGGATCAAAAGTAAAACACTGCATAGCTCAGAGAGAAGAGCTCTGAGCCCTAAATGGAGGTACTTCTTCACAGTACACAGGGAATGTGCCCAGCTGAGGTTGTCAATCACACGCTGTGTGCTGGAGCTCCTCTCCCTGTCACCCTTTATTTCCTGGAGTCAAGAAAAGCTGTCAGAACTGACCAATGCAGATAACAGAGGAAGGAGGTGGCAGACAGAATTCATACTCAGTGCTTTGGGTAGAGGCAAGTGCAGTTTAGAAAGATGTGCTTTCATATTTCATGACTAAAGTGTACAACCACTTTAAAGGTAAACTTATCTTTTAACATGTATGGTCTTACCCGGTAACTCGCTGGTCTCTCTTTCAGTTCCCTCTGTGCCTCCAATAGTGTGACCAGTACCAGGAAATTCATCCCATGATCTTCTTTCTCGAAACACTACACCACGCAAGTCTTTAACCTGCACAGAAGTATAAATCTCTATATCCAGTGCTCAATTTGTGTTATAATGAACCATCCTATAACCATATGTGCAGCATAATGGAAGAACTGATTGAAGGTCACTTACAACAAGAGATTAATTTAGACCCAACCATTATAGTGATGATCAATGAAATACACTAAAAAATAAATAGTAGTCAGAAAACTATCTTTAAAGTGACGCTTAAAAATATTGAAATGGCTGTTTCCTGGAATAGAAAAACTTGGATACCCATCTTTTTCAGAATCTGCCTTCCCTCTGTTCCAATTCTTCAATCTCTCATCAGATTTTTCAGCACTGGACACTACCGGAAGTGTCAGATGCAAGTGTCCCCTGCAGTGTTCCATCCTTGGACCCATATATCACTACAAAGCTCATATGTAGAGGTGAAGGATGAAACCATAACACACAGCAGGGGACACATACATCTACCTCGCCTGGATGCACTATGTTGAATGCTGATAAATATGACTAATGGAGGAAAGTCAAGAGATATAAGTGGCCAGGGAAATGGATATAACCTCTTCTATTAACAGGGTTACTTTGATTAGTTTTCTGTAAACAAGAGACAGACATTCTAAAGAAACTGACATTTTTATATAGCACCATGAAAATAGTTTTATCTTTTATAGTCCTACTATAGGCTAAGTCTTGACATTTAAAAAATAAATACATTATATATATACACACACACATATATATATATATATATATATATATATATATATATATATATATATATATATACACACATACACACACAGTTGTGTTCAAAATAATAGCAGTGTGTTGAAAAAAGTGAATAAAGCTCAAAATCCCTCTAATAGCTTTTATTTCCATACACACAAATGCATTGGGAACACTACACATTCTATTCCAACTCAAAACATGAAGAAAAATATATCAAATTTGTGTTGTTCCTCTAAAGAAATTGCAGAAAAATGAATATTAGACTGTTCAAAAAAATAGCAGTGTTTGTATTTTTCTTTACGAAGGCGTCTTCTAATTGTAACAGTACTCACAGGTAACTTTAGACCTTCTTTGATCTTCCTGGAGCTGATTGTTGCCATTTTGGCTATTCTTCTATCCGTTCGAATGGTAGTTTTTCGCTTTTCTTCCACGTCTTTCAGGTTTTGGTTGTCATTTTAAAGCATTTGCGATCATTTTAGCTGAGCAGCCTATCATTTTCTGCACTTCTTTACAGTGGGGATCGAAAGTTTGGGCACCCCAGCTAAAATTTGTATTAATGTGCATAAAGAAGCCAAGGAAAGATGGAAAAATCTCCAAAAGGCATCAAATTACAGATTAGACATTCTTATAATATGTCAACAAAAGTTAGATTTTATTTCCATCATTTACACTTTCAAAATAACAGAAAACAAAAAAATGGCGTCTGCAAAAGTTTGGGCACCCTGCAGAATTTTTATAGCATGCACTGCCCCCTTTGCCAAGCTGAGACCTGCCAGTGTCGTGGATTGTTCTCAATCATCGTCTGGGAAGACCAGGTTATGTCAATCTCAAAGGTTTTAAATGCCCAGACTCATCTGACCTTGCCCCAACAATCAGCACCATGGGTTCTTCTAAGCAGTTGTCTAGAAAACTGAAACTGAAAAAAGTTGACACTCACAAAGCTGGAGAAGGCTATAAGAAGATAGCAAAGCGTTTTCAGATGTCAATATCCTCCGTTCGGAATGTAATTAAGAAATGGCAGTCATCAGGAACAGTGGAAGTTAAAGCAAGATCTGGAAGACCAAGAAAAATATCAGACAGAACAGCTCGCAGGATTGTGAGAAAAACAATTCAAAACCCACGTTTGACTGCACGATCCCTCCAGAAAGATCTGGCAGACACTGGAGTTGTGGTACACTATGCCACTATAAAGAGATACTTGTACAAATATGGTCTTCATGGAAGAGTCATCAGAAGAAAACCTCTTCTACGTCCTCACCACAAAAATCATCGTTTGAACTTTGCAAATGAACATATAGACAAGCCTGATGCATTTTGGAAACAAGTTCTGTGGACCAATGAGGTTAAAATTGAACTTTTTGGCCGGAATGAGCAAAGGTACGTTTGGAGAAGAAGGTTCACAGCATTTAATGGAAAGAACCTCTGTCCAACTGTTAAGCATGGGGTTGGATCAATCATGCTTTGGGGTTGTGTTGCAGCCAGTGGCACAGGGAACATCTCACGAGTAGAAGGAAAAATGGATTCAATAAAATTTCAGCAAATTTTGGATGGTAACTTGATGCCATCTGTGAAAAAGCTGAAGTTCAAGAGAGGATGGCTTCTACAAATGGATAATGATCCTAAATACACCTCGAAATCCACGGGGGATTACATCAAGAGGCGTAAACTGAAGGTTTTGCCATGGCCTTCACAATCTCCTGACCTCAACATAATTGAAAATCTATGGATAGACCTTAAAAGAGCAGTGCGTGACAGACAGCCCAGAAATCTCAAAGAACTGGAAGACTTTTGTAAGGAAGAATGGGCAAAGATACCTCAAACAAGAATTGAAAGACTCTTGGCTGGCTACAAAAAGTGTTTACAAGCTGTGATACTTGCCAAAGGGGGCAGTACAAGATATTAACTCTGCAGGGTGCCCAAACTTTTGCAGACGCCATTTTTTTGTTTTCTGTTATTTTGAAAGTGTAAATGATGGAAATAAAATCTAACTTTTGTTGACATATTATAAGAATGTCTAATCTGTAATTTGATGCCTTTTGGAGATTTTTCCATCTTTCCTTGGCTTATTTATGCACATTAATACAAGTTTTTAGCTGGGGTGCCCAAACTTTCGATCCCCACTGTACATGTTTTCCCCTCTCCAATCAACTTTTTAATCAAGGTACGCTGTTCTTCTGAACAATGTCTGGAACGACCCATTTTCCTCAGAATTTCAGAGAGAAATGCACTGTAACCAGCATGTACAACATTTGCTGCCTTCCTTCCTTAAATAAGGGCAATAATTGCCACCTGTTTTTCAAAGAATGAATGACCTCACTAATAGAACTCCACATTGCTAATATTTTGAACATGCCCCTTTCAATTAGTGATTCAATTACACAGAATCAGCAGCATACATGTCATGACTGTTGGGTCTGTTGGATTTCTATTACTCTACTACACCTGCTAGTAAATTATTTGCCATGTAGAAATATCATTTCTACCAAAAACAGTGACTGATCAGGTTAGTGATGTCTGACTGCTATTATTTTGAACACAACAGTATATATATATTTGACACACATCACCGTATTGAATCAAATAGTTTCTAGAATGGGTTCTAGAAACAAGATCAACCAGCTGAGGCACTGTGGAAGTCCTTTTTCACAAACATGGTTCCAGTTCAATAAATGGTTTTGTATAGACATCCTTTAAAGTAAACCTTTACACTGAAAACACTGCCCAGGTGACCTACCACTACATGAAAGCTCCTTGTGGGCCCATTCACACTGCCAGTATGCTAAACGTTATGTTTTAGTTTGTGGACAGCCTTCAGCTTTGGACTGCAGTGAGGCATGGTAGGGGGAGGAGTGATGCATGTTTGTGCATTACAAAGTTTCTTTTTCTTCTTCAACTTTATTTGAAGTACATAATGTGACACTTCATTCACATCTTGGCAGAAGCAGACTGGTGTATTGAGTAGCTGTGCAGTGACATGTGGTGCCTACCCGTGCGTTGTGATAAAATGCATCATGTCTCCATGTTACTGCAGCTCACTGCTCCACACCCCTGGGCTTCACTGCAGTGCAAACCCAATTTTTCATGCACTATCGGTGCATGGCCTTCATCTGGTGCAGAAAAACTCCAGTCACGGCTGTGTGAACAAGCCCTATCATAGGGACCTGTCTAAGATAAACTTCAAACTTTCCATGGCCTACCTAAAGTCAGTATTTGCAGAGAACTTCCTCAGGCTCCAGCAGCACTGACAGCATGCTTGTGAAGCTAAGGGTACTACATGGCAACCTGATGGGGGCTACCATTTAAGATTGGTTAAATTCAGTCCCCAACCAATTTGTGCTTTTCTTTTAATCCTTGTAAATAATAAATATGGTGTCCTGGCAATTGCATCCCAAACAGCTGAGTACACTAGCTTCTAAATGAGGGTTAGTGGCGGCAATAAAAACAAGTGGTTAAAAGGAGTTCACCTTTTAGAAAAAATAATAAATGCACTTTTTTTGCTGGTAAAAAAATGTCCATTTATTATTTTTTTCTGCAGGAGCCTGGAAAGCATTGCATCAGCGATCAGCAGATCACTGGTGCCATGCAGGTCTCCTGCAGACCTGTCAGAATATCTGCTTGCCGTACAGGCGGTACACAGCACTGTGGTAGTTCATTGAGTACTACAAGTTGACAGCCACTAAGGCTGTCGGGACTTGTAGTCTCTCATTTACAGATGACTGTAAATGAGTGATGCAGCCGTGTGGGCGGAGCCCTGCATGGCCACGTTTTTTTAAAATTTGACGGCTAGCATGGGGGGAAAGGATCCCCCACTAGCTGTCAAAGCGGGGAGCAGGGGCCGGTCTGAACAGAACACCTTACACCTGAATATGGGTGTAATATGTAACAAGTTACAAAAGGTGAACTTATCCTTTAAGCTACTTTTTTACCACTTCCCAACCAACCCCTCCTCAAGCTGCAAAGGCACCCAGATGGGGGTGTACACATGTCATGATTGCAATGCTTTTCCTTGAGGCTGTGGCAAAGATTATACTCCCTAATGCTCTTGGGGGACAGGACCGCTGCCCAACACAACACATTTCCACATTAAATTTAGCAGCGTAGGGTAGAAGTATGTTTTAAAGTGGAATTCTAAAAAACAAGTTGTGGATTACAATAAGGAGAACTATATATAACTGTCATCTTGAGGTTTCTTGAGATGAAAATGGTTACTTTTTTTTTTTTTTTTTTTTTTTTTAAATCGTCACTAAATATTTAGTGAATTAAATTAAAGCAGAACTAATGCCTAATACACACCATGAGAAAATCGGATGAAAAATACCATTTATGGAGCAATCGTCTGATAATCTGATCATTAGTACACAGTTTTGAGAGCCAATAATAACAGTTCATGCGAAATTATCTGAAGGGACAAGCACAAAAATTTTTCTTGTACAATAACAGAACTAATGATTTTCGTTTTATCAGTACAGTAGCCATCCATTAAGAAACGAGTGGCCAAAGCTGCGCATGATGAAACACAAAAGAATACATCGCAATAAAATACAATACATTACAGCTGTATTCTGTCTTTCGAGAATTTTTGTAACTCTAATGACCTATTAGTTTTTGATATGAGACTACCATGCAAAAAAAAAAAAAATGGAATGATCATTTGTCTTATATTCTCATTATGTGTAGCAGTCCTAAACCCATCAATGTAACGGTATAAAAAAAACAGTTACATTCCCGGCATGCAGGGAATGCCGACGGTCACGTTTGGTTGTATTCTCAACCAAACTGTCAAACCATCAAATGGATGATGTCATAACTAATCACATGTGCAGTTGCAGATCAAACAGAGGCTAAGATGGTAGCCTTCTTGGCTGAAAAGGTATAGGAGGGTTTAATTCCAATTTAAATTGTTTGTACTCTGAAAATGTACCTACATTTCAGAAAATGTATTTGCACTACTGACCCATACAGTGTACAACAAATGAGACTTTTGCCAACCTTTCTGCCACTTTAATCCACAAATTTGTTCCCTCTCACCTGAAATATCACACCATCAGGAAAGCGTTCCTGCAATTCAGAGGGGAAATATCCATCCATGATGTCTTTGAGACATTGCTGCAAAACAAAACCCATCAGTGTTTATATCAGGTTTTACTAGTGGTTTCTCTGATCTTCATTTAAAGTGTTACTAAACCCACAACAGTAAAATCAGACTATATATGCAGTAAAGCATGCTTGTTATACTCACTGTGGAACCTAAGGGGTTAATCCTCTGCATTGTGTAAAAAGGCTGTTTGATCCTGACTTCTCTGATCCTCCCCTTCTTCCAGTGTCCCCCTCTTATCTCCTGATAAGACATATCCTGTGGAATCACTCTGCACATGCGGTTTGGTGTGTATTGCTAGAGAATGTTTTTTTTTTCTTGGGAGACTGCATGTGATCAGCACAGGGCCAATCAGCACTGTCCAGACAGAGATCAGGGGTTCTGCATCTTCCTAGAGCAGAATGAAAACTCCTCCTGCAAGCTTTAACATGTGCTCTGCTTGATACTGATATAAGTCACAAGACTGCTCTAACTGCTGATGAGAAAAGGTGTTTAGCAGTTTACATTTACTAAAACAATTGCAGTTCCATGTTCTGTGTACTGTGGGAGACCGGTTATATTTATTGCAGAGTCCTGGGTTTAGTAACACTTTAAAGTTGAACTAAAGGAAAAATTTTTTTTTTTTTTCATTTTGGATAGCACAAGGATGGGTCATAACTCCTGTCAGTTTATTTTTTGCCATCTATGTCCCATTAGGGAGATTTTCCTCCTCTCCCTGTCCCCTAGACAAAGCAGGAAGTGAGAGGAAATCCCTGCAAATTAAGGGAATTACTTGGGGTCCCCAGGTCACTGGAACTATTGTCCCCATTGGAAGATTTCCCCTCTATTACTTTTCTGGGGCAGCCCAAAATGTAGGACTTTTCTTCTACTTTCTCTTTCAAAGAGAACGGTAAACAGGGCAAACAGAGAGATAAATAAATAAATACAGTAATAAAAACTGACAGGTGTTCTAATCCATCTCAACTCTATCCAAAACTTAAAGGCAGAACTTTTTTTTTTTTTCTATTTATACTTTAATTTCGGTTTATAACTTACCTGAGTTGATGGTTCCTGATAAGATCGAAATGGCCCCTGAAACATAATGATCCCATTCTTATATAATGTCAGCAGGACAGGGTCAGGAGGTCTCAGACGAGCTGCCCTGTCACTGTACTCTATTTGTGAAACACCTTCTCCACCAAGAAGATTTAAATCTCTCAAATTCTCTAGAATCAGGTCATAATCTGGTTGGAAAGTCTTTGAAGAGAGCCCTGGTAATTTGTGGAGATATACAAATTAGGATTCTTAAGAACTGTGTTTTGCTGAGAATGTGGTCATTCATTGTCTGCTCACCTAAACTGCTGCTGGTGGTCTTCTGCTCTGCAGCGTTAGCCGAGTCATCTCCAACCCATACAAGACCATAATCACTCAGGAAATTCTGGGCAAGGACACAAAGTTATCAGATTTATAACGTTTGTACACAGAATGCATTTTGCTAAATACTGGCAATAAAACCATGAACACCGGGGTGAATTTACTAAAGCTGGTGCATGGTAGCCAATCCGCTTCTAATTTCAGCTTGTTCAATTAAGCTTTGCCAATAAAACCTGGAAGTTGATTGGTTTCTAGACCGCCAGATTTTGCACTCTCCAGTTTTCATAAATAATCCCAACGTGTCATATACAACAATTCATTCTACAGTGAAACCATAGCAATGCATGATATTTAGGTGTCCATTTATGAACCAGCGGTAAATGATCGCTGCTCAGTTCTCTGGCATTCTCGGAGAACACAGTTCTCCTTTGAATGCCTTTTATGAAGCGGTGTAGATCAGTTCTCCAAACAAAGGGAGAACGGTCTACAAATGCTGGAGAATGGTCTACAAACGCTGGAAAATGGCTGATTTTACTATAATCTCGTGAGATTACAGTAAAAGATCAATTTACTAAGCAGAGGTAAATTTATCGCTGCTTAGTTTGCGGTTTCTCCGATTCTCCAGCTCTGGAGGGAGAACACAGATCTCCAGTGAAGGGCTGAACATGTTCTCCACTGATCTCCTGAGTATCATAAACTGTAACTGACCAGAGAATAGCTGTGATCCTCTGAATCGCAGCTATTCTCTGTGTCATAAACAGACACCTTAATTCATGAATAACTACATATATAGTTTACAACTAAGATCCTGCTCAGCATTTGTGCTCTTCCCTCAGAATCACCACTTGGAAGCACTGCAGAACCCCAGAGGAATCTGTAGAACCCTAGAGGACTACTGAGTCATCTGTGCATCTAAACCTACTATGCTGCATAATCCAAAAGCAATTAAATAAAAAAAATCAACAACCTTGAAATATCACTTACTAATTATACAGATAATCTTCCTCCAACTGGCACACCCTGGAAGGATTTAAACAATATAAACCTTGCATAGCCAATCCTACTAAGAATTTCTTAGCTTGTAGAGGCAAGCGCAGATTCCGCATCTCTCACCGACCCCCAGAATGTTAAAGTGGGACATACACAAACTAAGTATTCTGGCTGCCAAGGTTAGGGGATCAGCACACTTATATTAGTGGTCCAAATATCTTCAGGAATGGAGACAAAGTTGTCAGGAGGTTATATACTAAAAAATCTAAACATCTAAAATTTTTTATATTTTTTATTTGTTTGTTTGGTTTTTTAGTGCATTTGGATCAGGCTTTCTATTTCACTACCACCTTCAAGGTAAACAACGGAGTTTCAACATGATGGTACACAGCATGCAGCCAAAAGGTCTCACTTTACTGCATACTGACAGATTCTTCATTTTGCAACACATTAGGGGACCCTTCACACTTATCAGTTTTTGGTAGGTTTTTCAAATAAAAACTGCAGAAATACGCCTGAAAATAATGTATCCCTTTAAGCCTAGGTTCACAATACAGCCCATGTGATTCGCACAGGAACCGCACCACATTCCTGTACAAATCACATGCTATTTGTATGCGGTGCGATTAGAGTCATACATTTTGTATGGCTCTATTCGCACCGCACCAAAAACGTGTAGGACCCTTTTTTGGTCCGCACTAGAATCTGATCGCATAGGTATTCACGCCTATGCGATCCGATTCTGCACATCACACCGCGTTTTGCGGTCCGATGTCATGGTGTTGTTAACTTAACATACACACCCGTGTCAGTTTGTATGACTACTAACACTGACATACAAAGCCATTCATAACGCTGCCCCAAACTACCTCACCGACCTGATACCCAAATACCACCCAACCCGTAATCTTCGCTCCTCACAAGACCTCCTACTTTCTAGCTCCCTGGTCTCCACCTCCCACGCCCGACTGCAGGATTTCTCCAGGACTTCCCCCATCCTCTGGAACTCACTACCCCAATCCATTAGACTGTCACCTACCCTCCTCACCTTTAGGCGCACCCTGAAAACCCATCTCTTCAGGGAAGCCTACCCCACCCTCACCTAACAGCCGATCTCCTCCACGCCTCCTACCACTCCATCCCCCACAGCCACTTCCTCCTGTACCACTTTCCCCTCCCTCCTAGATTGTAAGCTCCAAGGAGCAGAGCCCTCGAACCCCGTGTATTGTTTTGTTACTGTATTGTCTCATGTTCTGTCCCCCACTATAATGTACAGCGCTGAGCAAACCTTTCTGGCGCTATATAAATACTGTATAATAATAATAATGAACGAGGTGCAATTGTGATGCGGTACGGAATTTGCACTGAAAACGCTGCGCATCCTACACCGCGCATCAGTGTGAACCAGGGCTTAATCCTATGGAACTCTTCACACCGGTCAGACGCATTTCAGTTGCATTTTTGGCTGCTTTCACATTGCTTTGTTGTAAAAACTGATCATTTCGGGGGGGGGGGGGGGGGTTTAAACTGAAAAACTGATCAGTGTGAAACGGTTCTAACATGCACCAAACGCGCATCAAAAATGCAGCAAGTGGGACTATTAAAAACGCAACTGACAGGTGGAAAGAGTTACTTAGGATTTAAAGGGATGCATTATGCATTTTTACAACAAAGCAGTGTGAAAGCAGCCAAAAACGCAACTGAAACAAAACCGACCAGTGTGAAGTGTTCCATAGATTCAAAGGGATGTATTTTTTCAATGCATTTTTCATCTCCTTTTTTTTTTTCTTTAACTGAAAAACTGATTAAAAACTGATCAGTGTCAAAAGGGCCCTTACCTGACAAGTTATCCTGTAAACTTTTGGAATTATCAATGTGAGCAACAAGGGGTTAACCTTGTGCCCCTTCTCTAACAAATTATGAAGGCTGCAGTTGTCCCTTCCATTCCTGCAGTGCTTGTTCCTTTGTTGCAAGGCTCATTTCTCAGCCTTAGTTTAAGGAAAGCATGTGCTGCAGGGGTTAACAGAACCCGGTGGACCTGTCATATCAAGTGTGTCGATTATGCCTGCCCTTTCCACCCATGTCCTCCATTCATAGAAGCTGTACTATAGCTTCTATGAATTAAAAATGATCTATGAATGAAGAACGGATGGATGAATGAAAGGTCAGCGTCTCCCATTCATAGAAGCTATATTATGGCAATGTTAACCCCTGAAGCACCGGAAGATTGCAGCTGCAGGGTATGGGAGGGGGACAGAGGACTTCAGATTTCCTCTATTACTGCATTAACCGCTTCTGTGTCAGCTAACCATAAAAAGTATGCATATCAGGATTTCTGACTTCACTGTCTACATGCTTATTCCAGGTGAGAGAGACTTAGAAAAGTATTGAAGTCAGCCAGACATGCAGCTATCATTTTGGAAGCAATGGAAGCCTATGTTTCTCTCTTGGCACAGGTTTCCTTTAAAATTCTTATATGCAAACAAAAATCAACAATCATCTGATGTGTGCATGAGTATTCCTAACAGAACTAAATTTTGGAATACAGTGTATTCAGTCTTTAGGATATCAAAAAACATCTTTAAATAAATGCAAACTTGAGGAGCTCAGGGTACTCTTCTTTTTACACACAGACTTTCATACTTCACAGTTTATACTCTCACTGACCTCCATATCAGTAATTCTTTTCTGTAGTCCCTGGCACCTTTTCTCCGCTTCTAGAACATTCTGCTCCGGTGAAGAATGACCTAAGCGGAAAATGTGGTTGTGAGAGAAGAGAGTTGCTGGGAATTCTCATATGACCAAGCCTACTGCCCACCTGTCTTTTGCTTTTGCAGCTTCTTAAGCTTCTGCTCTAGCGTGGCAATTTCTTGATCCTGAAAAATGCATAAGTGAGATTTTCACAGCTTTAAATTACATCATCCAAAAGGGTTTTTTTTTTTTATTTCTGACCTTCATTTGGATGTCCCGCGCTTGAAGACGCACTTTAGCCTCTAACTCGCTTACTCGTTTCACTGTGGTGCTCAACAGATCAAAATCGCTGGGAACAGAACCTATAGAAAAATTAACGTCAGTTTTTTTTCTGAAATAATGCTCATATCTACTGTGTAAGGCTGTGACCTGTTTAAGTACTGACCCTGCTCTTTCCCCAGTGTGTTGTGGTCTTTCACTTGTGGGAACATGTTCAAGAATCGTGGACTGGATACTGAGAAGAACAGAGAAAACATACCGCTGTCATCTATAAAATTGATTAAAATAACATGGTGATATTAATGGGTGGGTTCACCCAAAAGTGATATTTCAGTTTTGGGTAAAGGCATGTACTGAATTATTGTGGATTTCTATGAGACACTCCTGTCATGGGAAGTCATATAGGAGCAGCAGTTTTGTCACTTTACCCTCCCAGCAGACTAGAAGGACGTTGTCCAAGTCCAGTGGGGACATTGGACCAGAGCTTAAAATTTCAAGTCCTGAGCTACTAGCCAGGCCTTAGAGTTACTCGCCACCAACAAACACACACAAACAGAGACACCTGTACACACACACAGACATGTACATACACACACAAACAGAAACATGTACACACACACACAGAGGCACATGGATACACACACAGGCACGTACAGACACACATACATGTACATACACAGAAATACACACGCACAGACACATGTACATACACACACAGACACATGTACGTACATACACACACACGTACATACACACACACATAGATACTTGTACACACACATACATGTACATACACGCAGACACATGTACACACAGTGTCAGGAATGGACATGCCAATAGTGGTGGGACTCACCTGCCTTGTGGGCTGCAGTACCAGGGCTGGCCAGCGGGTGCTCTCAACAACCAGAGGTTCACTTCGGCAATTAGCCATCACCTGGGGCTGATTGCAGGTGGTGTATTTAAGGGATGGCCAGACCTGCAGTCTGTGCCTTGGTGTGTGTTTTTTTCCATGGGCCCCTGTACCTTGCAACCTGCGTTCCTGTTCCTGCCTGACTTGTTGCCGACCCTGCCTGATCCTGACCTCTGCTGACTTCTCCTGTTTGATCCCTGGCTTGTGACCCTGACCATTCTCTCCGCCTGCTCCTCCTGTACCTACCTGCCCGATAGTTATCGACCCGGCCTGCCTGATTACGTTGTGCTCTATATGTGTATGTACCTGTGTATCTTTATCAGTTTAGGTTTGGGTTTGTTTCACCTTGTTGTATGTATTTGTGTTAGCTTGGGGTTTGGTGCACTGCATTTATGTTTGTATTGTTAGTCTTAATAAATTGTCTTATTTATACCATATCTGAAGCTTGCGTTTCCCTGTGTCAGTCCATACACTTCTGGTCACACCCGCATCCCTGACACACAGACATACATGTACATACACGCAGACACATGTACACACACATGTACATACACGCAGACACATGTACAGATATACACATGTACACACACACAGACACATGTACAATTGTACATGCATACACAGACACACACAAACACACATACACACCCCTCCCCCCCATAAAAAGTTGCAGTACTTCGTTGTTCATTCACAGATCCGGGTACTGCACTCTAGGGGGAGGCAGAGAGCACAGCACACACTCATTGCATTGCTTTCACTGCGCTCAGCTATTGAGCAGCCTGACTGCTCCCAGTGCCAATGACAGATCCTGCCTGAGCTCCGAGCCTGCTCAGCAAGACGGCCTTGGGGGACACACTCGCCCCCACCATAATTTCCACTTGCCATTGGCGAGCAGACGGGTGGAAACTTCAAGCCCTGCATTAGACCATATTTTGGCTTGTAATAACAGTGCCCATATGGAAGAAAAATATATTTTAAAATTATTCTTCCCAAATATATTCCAAAAATCTGAAGAATATATTTTTAAAAAATATTTTTTTAAATATATATATTTTTTAAATATATTCTTCAGATTTTTTTTAACATTAAAAAAGTCATTTTAACATATATTTGCAAATGCATTCCAAAAATGTAGATTTGTATTTTTAAAGACATTAGGTATATTTGAAATGTATTTTTAAAAATATTTTTTCATATATTTTCTAAGAAAAATGCATTTCAACATACAGTGTGTATATATATATATAATATATATATATATATACACATACACACACACACACACACACACACACACACACACACACACACACATACATATATATATATTTATTTATTGAAATACATTGAATATGGCCAAAATTGTGGCATTTCAAATATATGTCAATATATTTGGGAAGAATATTTTTAAAATATATTTCAAATACATTTTTCTTCCATGTGGGTGGCTATTGGGTAGAACTGATAAATGTGGTGAAGACATCTCACTGATGGAGTCCCTCAAATATATAAGAAGCCATCAAGACTTAACTGGCCGGTACTATGACAACCTGAAAATATAATACCAAAGTATAATGATAAGATAGAACCAGATTCCAGAGACGGACAACAAAAAATGATGAAAGGTCTGAGGGATAAAACATATCAGGAGAGACTTCAGGAACTTAATATGTACCGGCTGGAGGAAAGAAGAGAAAGGGGAGACATGATTGAAACCCTTAAAATACATCAAGGGGGTGAATAAGGTTCATGAGGGCAGGATTTTCATTATCAAACCAAGTTGAAAAAATACAGAGATATGACCTCAAACTATCAGGAAGAAGGTTCAAAACTATTCTTAGAAAGTATTATTTTACTGAAAGGGCAGTTGATGGACTACTTGGTCTTTTTTTTCTGCTGACCCTTTTCTATGTTTCTAAGCTTATATATAAATGTATGTAAGGGGAACAGAAAATAGCAGCTAAAGAAAAAGTATGTGAACCCCTTGGGATTACGTGGAGTTTTGCATGAATTGGGCATAAAAAGTGCTCTGAACGTCATCTAAGTCACAACAATAGAAGAACCACAGTCTGCTGAACATAATACTACACAAACATTAGATGTTGCCATGGTTTGATTGCACATAACATGTAAACATTCACAGTGCAGGGAGGAAAAAGTATGTGAGACCCTACTTTAATGAGCTGCCTTCTCCCAGCCACAGCTATTGGAGCCAGGAGTGAGCCAACCTTGACTCCAATCAGTGTGATTGATATTGGAGTCCTGTGTTGCTGACAGCTGTCCTAAAAAAATGAACACACTGTTTTAAACCCCTGGTTTCAAGAAGCGACTGTCTGATGTGAATATGCAGCCTCGCAGAAGGGAGCTCTTAGAAGCTACGATCCAGAATGTGTTGACTTACATGAAGCTGGAAAGGGTTACAACAGTATCTCCAAAAGCCTTGATGTTCATGTGCCCACGGGTAAGACAGACTGTCTACAATCGGGAGAAAGTTTAGCACTGTTGCTACTCTCCCTAGGCGTGGTTGTCCTGTATAAATGACTGCAAAAGCACAACGCAGAATGCTGCATGAGGTAAGAAGAAGAATCCCAGAGTGTCAGCTAAAGACCTACAGAAATATCTGGCACATGCTAACATTTTTGTTAGGCATCTACAATAAGGAAAACATTAAACAAGAATGGAGTAACATGGTTAGGACACCACGGAGGAAACCATTGCTGTCCGAAAAAGAATATTGCAGCACGTTTGAAGTTTGCAAAAGAGCACCTGGATGTTCCAGCAGCACTACTGGCAAAATTACTGTGGACAGATGAAACCTTGAAGATTGAGTTGTTTGGAAAGAACACACAACACTATATGTGGACAACTCAAAAGGCCCAGCACACCAACATCAAAAACCTCATCCCCACTTAAAACATGGCAGAGGGAGCATCATGGTTTGGGGATGTTTGCCACTTCAGGGCCTGGACGGATTGTTGTCATTGATGGGAAAATGAAAATTCCAGAGTTTATCGAGACATTTTGCAGGAAAACGTACGACCATCTGTCCGCCAACTGAAGCTCCACAGAGGATGGATGATGCAACAGGACAATGACCCAAAGCATACAAGTAATTCAACAAAAAATGGCTGCAACAGCACAGAATACGCCTTCTGGAGTGGCCCAGTCAGAGTCCTGACCTCAACCCGATTGAAATGCCTGTGGCATGACCTTAAGAGAGCGATTCACACCAGACATCCCAAGAATATTGCTACACTGAAACAGTTTTGTGAAGAGGAGTGGTCCAAAATTACTCCAGATCGTTGTGCAGGTCTGATCTGCAACTACAGGAAACGTTTGGTTGAGGTTATTGCTGCCAAGGAGGGTCAACCAGTTATTAAGTCCAAAGGTTCACATACTTTTTCCTCCCTGCACTGTGAATGTTTACATGTTATGTGCAATTAAACCATGGCAACATCTAATGTTTGTGTAGTATTATGTTCAGCAGACTGTGTTCTTCTATTGTTGTGACTTAGATGATTTTCAGAGCACATTTTATGCCCAATTCATGCAAAACTCCACGTAATCCCAAGGGGTTCACATACTTTTTCTTGCAACTGTAAATATGTCCGCTACGCGTCATATACAAACTTAAGCTGTTCAGAACCTTGGTCTAAAAAGTACTAATATCAAGAAAAAATAGGTGATCATCAACCAGTAATTCCTTTGGCATCTATCCAGTTGGACCGGATTTTGTCAAATTTTTCTTGGACAGTTGCGATTAGTGTAGGTTAATTTGTATAGTGGGAGAACTGCATTAAGAGCTGCCTTCTACTCTGCCACAGTAGGAGGCTGAGATACCTTCCACTTATTCAGTATAGTCCTCCTAGCACAGAATGTTAAATAGTATATGAACAACTTAACCCCTTGGCCCCGACGTCACACAAATATGCAGCCTCACAGAACTGGGCTTTTTTTCCGCATATTTGCATACCTGTGTTTGTGCTGGGAGCGTGCTGCACGGCACACTCCCAGCACAAAGACTGGGGTGTCACTAAGAGCCCCGGGTCCTGTTCTAATGATCGGGACCTGGAACTCTCTATTCTGGGTCACATGATCGCTGTGATAGCCTCTGATTGGCTATTTGCGAAACACAGTGATCAGTTACTGTGAAGCCCACACTGTTTTTTTTTTTCTCTGTATGGGGAAGAGAGATACATTGTATCTATCTCTCCTTGCAGAGAGAAAAAAAAAACAACTGTGTGTAAATAAATATACAAAAAGAAAAGAAAAATAACTAGATCAATTTTCCTTAGGCATTAAGATTTGTGTTACCCTTAGGCATGAAGGGGTTAATCTAGTGGGTAGTTGCCATAATGTGAGTCATACCGAGTAGGAAAATAAGAGAATCTCAGGCAACCAACAGACCATCTACAGCAGACTCTCAAAATTTTCAACAGGAAAACCCTTGAAATAATTTTCCAGTCTCAGGGAACCCCTGCTAAAAATTACTATATGTACAACTCATGATGCATCACTGTTATGGTCAGTGAGAAGAATGCTCCTTACACTTGTGGTCATTGGGAAGGATTACTCATTTACAGATAGTTAAAAAAATCAATGGTGTCAGGGGGAACTTATCTAAAAGGCAAAAACTGGTAATTGCTGAAGGAACCCCTAGTAACCTTTGGAGGAACCTTAGGGTTCCACGAAAGCCTGGTTGAGAAACTCTGATCTACAGAGTTGACAGTGGATACTACTTCTTCCCAATAGGGCTGTAGATGAGGACAGGTCCACAGCATATACATAAGAGTACCCCCTTCTAATGGACAATGCTGACAAGTACTGGAGATGTTTGGATGTATACCGTATGAGACAGCCTTTGCAGGGTGTAGTGGGCTCTGTGTAGGAGCTTGAGCTCAATAAACCTGTCTCTAGCTGATATCGTATTTGTTAAGAAGTGATCCAAACATTCAGACCAGTCCAGTAAGAGTGGGGAGATCTGCGTGCCATCCAGCCTAGGCCCACTAGGGGATAGGGGTTTATATGACTCCTCTGTCATTCGTAGTAGGGATGCACCGAAATATCAGTGGCCGAAATGTATCAGCCGAAAATAGTGTTATAGGCATTTTGCCGATAATGGCTGCTGAAAACGCACAATTTTATTGCAATTTTGCCTGCAATTTTACCCACATTTAGGGTACTTTTATCATAGGTCATGTGACTAAAAATACCCCATCAAAACACAACACGTGTGCATTTTTTATGGGTTTTCAATGCATTTCAGGCCTAGTTCACACCAATGCAATTTGAGTTTTGTCCGTTTTCAAATGTGTTTTTGACACTTTCTTTGATACATGTTGCATTTTTTTAACATTAATTTTTTTTTTTGGCCAACTTGTTGCTGGGCAGATTAAAAACGCAAAATGCATAAAAAAAGCAACATGTGCATTTGTGATGCGTTTTCAATGCATTTCAGGCCTAGTTCACACCAATGCCATTTGCATTTTGTCCATTTTGCAGTGCGTTTTGCATGCACATTTTTTGAATATTTTTTTTTGGCCAACTTGTTGCTGAGCAGATTAAAAACACATAAAAAAACAGCATAAAACTCAATACGTGTGCATTTGTGATGCGTTTTTTTATGTGTTTTCAATGTACATTTCAGGCCTGGTTCACACCAATGCAGTTTGCATTTTGTCTGCTTTGCAGTGTTGCACATGTTCTTGCACACACATTTTTATGTGTTTTGCGCATAAAAAAATGCAAACCACATGCAAAAGCATGAAAACATGTCAGAAACACACTGTGTTTTATGTGTTTTCTGCAGCACTTCCTTTGAAGTCTATTGGTTCAAAAAACAGATGTGGATCACTGGTACAGATGTGGAATTTACACTGGTACACTGTGACAGACGTGGATCACTGGTATGCTGTGAC